TATATATATATATATATATATTATTGTAATTCTTTTCCTTCTTGTTAATTATTGTATTCTTTCAAAATTTGTTTTTGTTCTTACATATGCCTAGTCCAATTTTATTCCTGAATATATAAAATATAGTCTAAGTTATTATAATACATACAAGTTTATAAAGTTAAAGAAAAACGGATGTATTTTTATTACTTTCGAGTGAATAAAAAATATTTAGTAGTCTAACCAAAATATTAGAAAAAGACAACTTCCATTTGGGCCAAGTAAATTTTGGTCCCGAAAAAGCCCATTAAATAAAACCCAACTTTTTTCCTGAATTTAAGGGGGTTTGACCTTTTTTAAATTTTATTTTTTGACAGCCTTTCATTTTTTTTTTATTTTTTTTATTTATTATTCATAAGTAATAAATGAGTATCACTTGGATTTCCGGTATAAATCCAGTTTACTTAGACTTGATTCAAATTATATCTGGTTTGATTGTTTTAGCCACCATCTAGGTTTGTGTATGCGACAAACTTGTCATACATGCGAAATCGTGTCTATATATATATATGTAGACCGTCTCTTAGGACTGCAATTGAAGCCTCTCCCAATTTTTTGGGATCTCACTTTTTTTAATGTCATTTTTAAAATTTAATAATTGTTAAGATTTTAAATAAAACATGAAAAAACTGTTATTAAAAAGATTAAATTTTGTTGAATTATAATTGATCTTTTATATTTCAGTAATTATTAATTAGTTTTCAAATATATTGAAATAAAATAAAATTGTAATTTGATAATAGATATAATAATTTTTTATATATAATTTTTAATTACTAAATATTTTTAAAAATAAAAAATTACTACAAAAGAATATTTTCTCAATCAAAAGTTTTATCAAAATAAAATTGATCTTAATTTGTATTACTCTTTAAAATTAATAAGAATATTTCAAAGTTATTATCAAAATAAGAATATTTTTCCTATTTTTACTTTACTTTTTATATAATTTGAAATTTTATATATTTAAAAAAAATAGTAAATATTTTTGTAAACACAATTATATATATATATATATATATATATATATATATTGAACGGAGCTCATCAAATTTATCATACGGCTTTGATATGTATGTATGTATGTATGTGTGTGTATGTATGTGTGTGTATGTGTGTATGTGTATGTATGTATGTATGTTTGTATGTATGTACGTATGTGCGTATGTACGTACAGAGGCGGATCCACTTGAAGATGAATGGGGGCACTGCCCCCACTGATTTTTTTTAAAAAAAAAATTATTTATAAAATTTATTAAAGATTTTGAAAAAGTACAGTTAATGCCCCCATTATAATTTGGTTGTGGACCCCATTGTTGGTAATTTTGAATGTATTTTAAACGTTATCTAACAAATCAAATAAAAAAATCTATATCTCCTATATTCTTTCCTTTTTTTTCTTATTTTCCATTTTTAAATTTTTATTTTTTTATTTAATTAAATAAAAAATTATACCATATATTTTTATTAACTTTTTTGTATTATATATATATATTTTTTTTAATTTTGTCCCCATTACAAAATTCTTCTGGATCCGACACTGTATACGTATGTGCGTATGTATGTATATATGTATGTATGTATATATATTTGTATGTATGTATGTATGTATGTATGTATGTATGTCATAAGGAGATCAGTTAGCGTTTGCGTTGTAATGTGATTATGAGTTTATGGGCCACAAACTCGAAATGTAATGAAATTCATGTGCCTTTCTCTTACAACGAGAAGTCTTTTTTTGTTAAAAAAAACATACAAAGGTAAAGACACGAGTCCTCATCAACAGCATGCTTCGATTTATTATACTAAGCAGTCCCACAATTTACTGCGTCGACCCCCTTGTCCGAAACTCCACGTCCCCTTTTCAAGCCCTACAAGAACATAACAGAAACTCTCTTTACCTTTGATCTAAATTATTCATATATATATTTATATTTATATAGTTAATTTGGTGATATACAACACATAGAATGTAGAGATTCATATTTTGTAACTTACGGGCTGTAATCGATACGGATGTTTCCGGCCTTAGGGTTAGCGATGGCGGCGAAAGCGTCAAGGGAGAGGTTAAGGTTGCCATTGCAAGGCTCTCGGCAGAAATCCACGACGGTAACCACCACGGAACGGCCGGTGCATGCGTTCGGAAAGCTGAAGGTTGGGCCGAGACACCTAACCCTGTACCTCCGACCACATGCACTTCCCCTTCCCCACAGCTCACCCTTCACCCCGGCTACGTGCGTTCCGTAATTTCGACCTCCGTAGCACGCCGAGGCTAACCCGAAACCAATATATATATATATATATATATATATATAGATATTTAAGTATATATATATGCAATTGAAATGACTTT